GGCAGGTTACAATCCATTTGTGTGTCAGTTACAACTCATAGCAACCCTGTATGAGGTTTCTGAGAAGCAGTTGGTGAGTTTGTACCACTGACCTTGTGGTCCAGTGCTTTATCAAACAGTACTACATACACTAGGACTTCATAGGCACTGGACCACAAGGTCATCTGAACTGCAAGGTCGGTGGTTCAATTCACCAGCCACTCCTCGGAAACAGGCTTGCTGAGTCAGAACCAACTCAACGGCACTTAATCACAACATACTTGGTGGTAGTGATTGTGTGTCATCAAATCGGTTCTGACTCATATCAACCCTGATAGGTTTTCCGAGGCTATAAATCTTACAGGAGCAGAAAATCTCACCTTTCTCCTGTGAAGCGACTGGTAGATTCAAACTGCTCACCTTGTAGTTAGCTGCCCAGCTCATACTCTCCCATGGTTCCTTATTTTAATGCAAGAAGGTATGCTCTGGTGGCACAATGGGCTAGTGTTCCAACCCAGCAGCCAATCTATGATAGAAAGATGAAGCAGCTACTTTCATAAAGATTTAGGCTCAGAAAACCCTATGGTACAGTTCTATGTCCTATTGGGTCACTAAGGGTCAGAATCAACTTGACAACAGTGGGCTTGGGTTTTGTTCAGTGCAAGAGGTGATCTGGTGGCAAGTGGCTAAAGCACTCATCTGACAACCTCAAGGTTGGTGGTTTGAACCCACCAGCAGCTCTGAGGGAAGAAGATGTGACAGTCTGCTTCCATAGAGATTACAAACCTTGGGAACTTGTCCTATAAGTCTGAATCATCTCAGTGGCTGTGGTGTTTTGAATTTGAGCACAGAAAGCTTAAAGCCTTTTCAGTGATTTAAAAAACTGCATGTGTAGAAAATGAAGGTGATGAAGAAATTTTGGCTAGAGCCCTGGTGGTGCTGTGGGCTAGGTAGCTAACGGAGAAATCTGTAGTTCAAAACCACCAGTCGCTTCTCAGGGAGAAAGATGAGGCTGTCTGTCTGCTCCTGTGAAGATTTCATCTCGGAAAACTGCATACAGAGTCACTATGAGACACAATGGACACAGTGGCAGTGGGTTTTTTTCTTTGTTTTGGTTCAGGGGTTGGTGAGATCATTTCAAAGTGAGGGCAAATTTAATTTCAAAGTGAGAACAAATTCACAAAATATTAAAGGGCAAGTCCAGAGATTGCCTGTACTAATAAATCTGTAAACAAGTACTCTTCCTTTCCTGACTTTTGAAGGCAAAAAGGAGACATGGGAGATAACATACAGATGAATACCTTGCTAGTGAGGAACTCACAACCAGAGACAAGCACAAAAACAGATGACACAATTCAACTGGCTTTGAAAGTTAATCTCCCAAAATACTTAAAAACAAACAACAACAACAAACTACTGCTTAAGATTCACATGTTAATTTGGGGAAAAAAACCCCACAAAAACTCTAAAAGATTTCATAAGATCCTACAGAACAGGGAAGGAATTTACCAGACTTGCTATTTAGTCTCATAGAATTGCCTTTTTTTCAGAATGAAGAATGCCCAACTGTCTATACCATGTTAAGACAATTGCTTCTCAAATGATGTGCTAAGAGATCAAAGAGAGTTTGAAACTGAAGTGAAAATGCCTACCTATGCATATGTAATTATATATAATATTGCATATTATATATTACACATATATATATGTACTATGTGTAAGAGAACAAATTCGAGTAGAGACCATTGGAAACAATTTTAACCAACAAATCAGAATCAATGAGATTTTAACCAACAAATCAGAATCAAATATATGGGTGAATGAACTTGCCAAAGCATGAAATTCTTACACTCTCATCTGGAGGAATTTGGAGATGTGCTAAAGGTGTTAATATGGGTGTGCATCACTAAATGTCCAGCTGACTGCGTTCACCACTTAACCTTCAACTTACTGCACAGTCTTCTGAGGTTCCAAAAGGTTATTGTATTTTTAAAAAGGGAAAGCAGTTCTTCTAATATTTCCTATTGTTAGCATAGAGGTTGCCAGTCGGGCTGCTAACCTCAAGGTCAGCAATTCAAAACTACCAGCCATTCCTCGGAGAAAGATGAGGCTTTCTGCTCCTATAAAGATTTACAGCCTTGGAAACCCTATTCAGGGTTACTATGAGCCAGAAACAACTCCACGGCACATCACCACCACCACCAATAGTTTAAAATACTTCAAAGCCAAACTCCTGCAGCACTTGGTGGGACACAGGCAGGTGAGGAAGAGGACATGGCTCTGGGCATGGACTCTCAGGCTGTCAGCCAAACCAGCAGACAAGGCTGAGTGAGCTTGGTTACAAATCGGGCTGTGAACCTCAAGGTCAGCAGTTCAAAACTACCAGCTGTTCTGCAGGAGAAAGATGATGAGGCTTTCTGCCCTGGTAAGGATTTCCAGCCTCGGAAACCCTGTACAGGGTCGCTCTGAGTTGGAACCAACTCCAAGGCACATAACCACCATGTCACCCTTGCTTTTTTTTTCTACAGCCACCCTCTCAGCTGCCTCCACCTCCTTTGATGTCAGCCAGTGGCAGCATCATGGTGACTGGAAGTGGACTCCCGTAAGGTTTTAAATATGGGGTTCATACAACACTCAAATCACATCACGTCCTATTTCACAGAACATATTATGGGCGTTAAGTGATGCATATCTGTATTGTGAAATCTGTCCCTCATACTTCATGGAAACTGGGGGAGGAAAGACTAGAAGACAAAAATGATGCAGACCTCCAAAGTTGGATTCACTTAAGTCATAGACAGTTATAACAAAGCAATAGATAATAGGGATAAAATCAAGCCAAAAAACTTAAAAAGTTGAATGGGTAAAAGATAACTTGTTTTCATTTTTAAATATGATCTGCATAATCTCAAGGTTAGGGTTAAACCAAGTGCCCCAAAATGTAAGTTATTATTGTTAAGTGCTGTTGAGTTAGTTCTGATTCATAGAGACCCTAGATAAGAGTTTCTAAGAAGTGGCTGGTAAATTTGAATCGCTGACCTTGTGGTTAGTAGTTGAGCGCTTATCCTACAGTGCCATAGCAGGATCCATAATATAAATCAGTCTTATCAATGAAAGGTAGAATCAAGTTACACAAAATCCTAGGACGTGCCTTAATGTTGTTAAGTGCTGTCAAATCAGTTCCAGCTCATAGAGATCTTATTTGGGGTTTCCAAGAGAGCTGCTGGTGGGTTTGAATGACCAACCTGGTGGTTAGCAGTCCAGTGCTTATCCTACAGCAGCACACCAAGCCAATATACAACAGAATCCCTGCCACAGGTAAGTGTTCATTCTAAGAGTCCTAATTTGACTTCATTCTGTTTGGGCATCAGTCCAATTGGCAGATGTTCTGGTAAAAGCTGATCTCAGACACTTTCCCTTTCTAATTTTTTGGCAGGGTTACTTCTGTTGCATGGGATATCATCTCTGAAACTTTATCTTGGATGCCCTAGGTTTGCAGCTTTGATCTACTCTTAAATCTTCCTGCCCCAAAGAGGTTCGCATGAAAACTACTAAATCACTGGTAATTCTTTTAGTGCAAATACAACTTATCAAATGACTTACTTGCAAATTTCCAACCATTCCCTTGCCTTTTCCTTACTCCCTTCTGAAATAACTTTAGAAGCAAAAATGCAAACACAAGGCAATCATTGTGAAACAACAACAACAACAACAAACACTACAGTCCTTACTCCCTTCTGAAATAACTTTAGAAGCAAAAATGCAAACACAAGGCAATCATTGTGAATGCTGCACAAATGTACCATTTTCTCTCCCAGGTTGTACTTTGTAGAATGAAATGCCAGAGCTATGATATTTATTATCTGAAAACGGTTTAACATTCGGAGAAATGTGTTCAAACACATAACCTTGGAAAGAAAAGCAAGCTGATCAGACAGAGAACAGAGGGTGGGCAGAGAACATGGATGCAATTTTGCTGTGTGTTGGGCAACATTAGAAAATTGGGTCTTTCTGAGCACAAAGAGCTCCCTGATGAGGTAAAAGTTAAATACAAACTGATTTCCAATTTGTTGAGGACCACCGGAAATCAACTTTAAATATACATGACCACAATATCAATAATGAAGAAATCTTACGTTTTATTGAATAGTTTGGCCAGACCAGTCCCTTTGAAGGGATCACTAGTTCAGGAAAGAAGAACAAACCATCATTCACTTTCCTGCAGATTCATTATTTTTCTAATTATTTCTATTGGCTCTGCTTTACTCTTTCTGCAAATCAAAAGAGGGGAGGGTACCTATATTAGATCAGCAATGTCTGGTTCTTATCCAAATATTCCACATAATGAGGATGTGAGTTCTCATGGATTGGATAACCACTCTGCAACATTCCTGAGAATTGAATAATAAAATAATCTTGAAAGTCAGCAGAGTGGATTACCCACTTTTTTTTTTTTTTTTTCTGGACTTGAACTTGTGACCTTAACAGTAGCGCTGCAAAAAAGCAAATGTGCTAAGCACTTTGCCCGAGTAACCTTCCATGTAGACTTTTCATCTTAAATACACACAACTGAAAACAACTACAATTTTTGGAAAATTATGTACAAACCCGATACTTCTTTTGATTACATATAAATACAAATTAGCTATTTTTTTTTCCCTAAAAAGTGGTTATAATAGTAAATAAATACAAAATAAATCTGACCATTATACTTCATGTGCTGGGGTTGAACCCATATAAAATGTACAACTAAATACATTTAAAATCTTTAAGGAATAATTCTCTGATTAAAATATTTATTTTCCCAACTTCTTTCCGTAGATATAAATATATTTTCAAAATAGTTGGTTTTTTTTTTTTTTTTCCATTCCATTCCATAAATAAAGTCTTCATTGGGAAATATTAAAGTGTCAACTTTTTT